TTTATAAAGACATATATAGGTCTATAGATATATAAATATATATTGTAATGCTTAAAAATAACAGAAATGATGATCAATGCTTATTTAATAATTCTTGTTTAAAGTCAGGCTCCGGAGGGAAAAAATTTTATGTTGTAGAATTGATTTTTCTAAGACAGAAAAAAACTGTTTTACGAAAAATTGGGGGAACGGTGAATGAGATACAGATTTTTTAATATTTAAAAACTGGGTGGGGGAAAGGGGCGTAACTGCCCAATTTTAAACCTTTTTAATTAAGTTTTTAAATATTCAAAAATCTGTATTCATTCACCGTTTCCCCCTTCTTCGTCAAACAACTTTTTTTCTGTCTTAGAAAAATGAGATCTAAAACATATAAAAAATGTTTTCCTCCGGAGTCTGACATTAATACATAGCTTAAAATTCTTTATACTACTAGTTCAATCTTTTAAGTGTTTTGGAAAATTATTCCATACCTTGACATGATATACTCTTTTGGCTTTATAAAGATTTTTTAATCTTATACAAATATTATTCTTATTTCTCTTATCATGTGAATGAATAAATTTACAATTTTGGAAAAGTGTATCACAGGTAGTTGGTTGATTTGTATGAAATTTTAACATAAAATTAGTTAAATATTAAGAATCTGCTTGTTTAAATAGAAGCAAAAGATATTGATAATGAACTTTAGAAATATCCCGCAATGTTTTTTCTGTGAAATGTAATACTATCTGAACCCCATGAAGACATTGGATATGTTTAAATGTTGGATCTTTAGAGCGTTGTAAATTGTCAATAATATATTTTAGAGTAGAACATACTTCAACTTATTTTGAGACTTGTTGCCATGTAATTTATATTTTTTTTAAATTATGTGCCAAGACACCATCAAGCCAAACTCAAAGCAATTGGGTTTGGTTGGTGTGATAAAGTGTGTGCGTAGTAGAATGCTGTTCACGGAAACCATTCTAATAATTACTTTCTTATATATAGATTTTTGTAAAGTATACATAGTTTGATCATAGGCCTTAATAACTCTCTTATTTTAAAAGATACGGTGATATCCAGATTGACTGGTAGTTATGGGTATCTTGCACATCTTCATGCTTAAAAACAGGCATAAATATTTTCTATATTTAATTGTTTTGGAAAACAACCACAATATAGGAACATTTATCATGTGTGTATAAGTAAATTTATAAGTGAATGTAGTACAAAAATATAACTAGCATTCCATCATGACCTGTCGATACGTTTGTTTTAATATTAATAAAATAAGTGTTTGCTTCCTTTTCAGTTACAGGTCGAAAAAAACATCGAGTTAATAATAAAATGTCTGGGCAGAAAAGAATTATCTCTTGATGTATCCGGGCTACTAAATTTATCATATAAGTTTTGTCCTATTATCAATAAAAATCAAATGTTGTAGTCTCTGTCCAATATTAAGCTCTATTAGTATATTATGCTTTTTGATGCTCCCCAGCAACCTGATAATTTATTCAACCAAATTTCTTTTTTATTATTTTTTTCAATGGTTTTTCCGGATCTTAATTGTTTCTGTCAGTTTATTTCGATACAAATTACATTTTAATTTAATGCTTGGTGTAGGTGTATATTATATACAAAATATATAGTAATGTGTCTTTTGTGAAAAATGATTTAGCTATCTCTTCAGTAATCCAATGTCCAGCGTTCATTTTTTGTCAGGTTTTGTTTTTAGTGGAAAGCACCTGCTGGTTTGCTGTACTTGCATCATCAGAATTTAACACGTTTTCCCATACTGTGCGTCAATCTCTCGCTCATAGAGTGATTGTTGTAGAGTAAACTCAAGCTTAACAATATATCTGGTAATATGTTTTTAATTTTTCTCGAATTTATTAATACAGAATATGGGGAAATGATTTGAAATATGATATTAGAATACCTGTTTTTATAGATGAAGAATTTTAATTACAGTAGATGTTATCTATGGTAGTAGAAGCGTTATCTCTTACCCCCGTGGGCCTACTTTAGTGGTCCAAATGACTTGGAGAGAATAATGTCCTTATGACTTTTGATATTACCTTCCGCTGAGTATTAAGGTCTACATTAAAATCTTCTGTAAAGTGAGCTTGTTTTTCTCATCATAATTACGAACTAAATTAAATTTATTCGGTTTGCTTTTTCAATTTCGTTGTGAGTTAGATATTTCCTTCTTCCTGTGTCATCGATGATATCAGTTGTACACATTATTGATCGTTCCATATCTAGTTGTCTTGATTCTATTTTGTCCATTCTTGAAAGTAAATACCCTTCATTTTTATTATTATTATTATTTTCAAGAACATCATCGAACTTCATTTCAGTTACTAAGATTTGAATTTTTCGCTGTAATAGGTATGTGTCGTTCGCGGCAGCAATGGCGCATTTAAGAGGAACCGAGCCACCCCGGTTCTCTATCTACCCTAAATGTTTTAAAATTATAACAAAAATGGAGAAAAAAGGTAATTATCATCAAGTTAAAGCCTGAGAATGCTATTTCAGGCCATCTAAAGGTGCCATGATCATAAATTTTCCTATGTCGTAATGGTAGTGCCCTCATTATCAAGGAAAACCGAATTTATGTGACCTTGATCTTGTCCTTTGTCTTTTCCAGATATATATATAGTTGTGCGCTCACTGGCTGCACACGCTTGTGTTTTGCTCCGGAGACTGTGTTAAGATCTTAGTGATTTAGTTGCATTTCTACTTCACTCTACTAATTCGTGTCCGCTAAACTTGCTTAATTTGACGTCTTCCTTCTATGAATCTTTTTATCATCGTTTTGTCTCTAAATGTACTGCCAGGATGCCTACTCACGACCATGCCTTCTTACTCGGCTGCTAAAGCATGGGATCTACGTTCAAAACATCTGCCCCTTGATTTGCATGTGAAAGCCCATTGCTTTGAGCTTGAAATTTTACGCCGTACTCATCGTGGAAGAAGGGCGGGTAAGCGGGTGCAACTTAAGGGACGGTCAACATGTCAGATAAGTAGGCCTTTATTACTTCATACTCCATCGTTATCAACGAAAATTATTCAACATAGTGAGTAGGTTGATTAAACCGAACATCCCCATATATCTCTCTCATCAGTGTCCACAAGATTTTGCTAATGATTTTTCTGACTTTTTCGCTTCTAAAGTGGAAAAAGTTCATGAAAACTTTCAGATTGGCTCTATAAATCACGCTTTTGTCAAGGATAGGCGTTGCCCTTACAGTTTTCATTCTTTCTCCACTAGTGATGATAAGATACTTACTGACCTGATTGCCTCATCTTCCAACTCCACTTGCTCTCATGATGCTCTCCCTACTCCATTATTTAAAACTTTCCTTCCTGAAATCCTGCCCCAAGTGCTTTATATAATTAATAGGTCTCTGTCCTCTGGAATATTCCCTTGTCATTTTAAATCGGCTGTTATTTCCCCTCTACTGAAAAGTTCTAAACTGGATAGAAATAGTTACTCTAGCTATCGTCCAATATCTAATCCATCGTTTATTTCCAAAGTCCTTGAAAATGTGTATCTTCACAAATCTCCATGTACTTGACTGAACACAATCTTATCGAACCTTACCAATCTGCCTATAGGCATGGACATAGCGTTGAGACTGCTCTTCTTAAAATTCACGATGACATTGCACTTGCACTAGATGGTCGTAAAGCTGTTGCGCTTGTTCTTCTTGATCTTTCAGCAGCGTTTGACACTGTTGATCACCGTATCCTTCTTGAAAGACTCTGCAATCAGTTTGGTTTTTCCGGTTGTGTTCTTCGTTGGTTTTCCTCCTACCTTTCATCTCGTACTCAGGCTGTACGAATTGATAAATGTTTGTCACCCGCTAAGCCTCTACCTTATGGTGTCCACAGGGATCGGTCTTAGGACCGCTGCTTTTTACCCTTTACATCACATCGGTTGCTAATATAATCCGTAATCACGGAGTTAAGTTCCATATGTACGCTGATGACATTCAACTCTATGTCCCGTTTAACCCTAACACTGAACTTTTACTTGCTATAAACAAAATTCAAATAACTGTGTCTGAAATAAAACTGTGGATGTTTCAAAACAAACTCAAACTAAACGAGTCGAAGACCCAATACATTGTATTCCACTCTCGCTTTGCTGATCTTAAGCCCCTTTTCAGCCGTTAGAATCTGTTAGAAACCTTGGTGTGATTCTTGATCAACATCTAACTTTTAAAGATCATGTTAGCTCAGTTTGCAAATTTGCAAATTTCTACATCCATAACATACGTAAGATTTCTTGATTTGAAATTTACTGAAATACTTGTGCATGCTTTAATTTCATCTAGGCTTGATTTTTGTAACTCTCTACTTTTTGGAATCTCTGAAGGACTCGTTGAACGTATCCAGCGCACCCAGAACACTGCTGCTAGGATATGCACAGGGGCGCTGAAATATGACCACGCTTCTCCCCTACTTCATGAACCTCACTGGTTGCCAATCAAGCAACGAATTGTTTTTAAATTGTTAGTTCTCACCTACAAAGCGATATGTTCCAGTCATCCGTCCTACTTAAATGCCCTGCTTACTAA